CTCCTTCCTGCCATCTAAGGGGAGATCCAAATATCTAGCAAGACCTCAGAAATATACTTAGAAAAATTTCCTTAGAATTTATTTTTTTGTATTTTTTGTATTTTAGGGAAGGGTCTACAGGATGTTCAGGGTCTCACTACTAGATCAGACTCATAGTGATCCACCTGTTTACAGCCTCCCAAAAGCTGGCACTACAGGAACATGCCATGATGCCTAGTTTCAATTGCTACCTCTGCATACCCCCAGGGGTGGGGCCAGCACTGCAGCCCTGGGGATGAAACCCCTGGCCCCTGCACCTGCCTGCAAAAAGACTACCTAACAAGTTCCCCTACCTCACCCCCCATACACAGCTGCCCAATAACAAAAGGAACACATAAGTATGTGTCTCAGTTACTTTTCTCTGAGACAAAAATACTGGATAGCCAAAGTTAGAGGAGATGGCTCAGTGGAATAAGCACTTCCCTGGCAAACACAGGGCCTGAATTCAATCCCCAGTTCCTCCAAAAAAAAAAAAAAGTTAGAGGAGGAAAGTTTTATTTAGCTCACAGCTTGTTTAGGTTCCAGCCCATAATCATTAGCTCTAAGGCAGGGTGGCACATGGCAGAGGGGGAACAGTTCATGGTAGCGGAGGACAGAAAAAAAGAAAAACAAGAGCAGAAGGGAGGAGAAAGCCTCTTTCCCTCCTTTATACTGGATGCAGGCTACCAGCCCTGGGGCAGGTGTAGCACCCACACCCCTAACCCCAGAACTAGGCAATGAATCAATCACAAACTGTAGATTTAGCTATCCCTGAAAAGCCTGCCACCATGACCATATGTGGCTCTGGGGGGCATACAAACACAAAAAGTAACAATCTGAGTCCGTTTAGCATAGATTGTAAGTGCAGAGTTTTATAGTGAGACTGTAATGGGCCTGCATCTCAGCTCCATCAGCTGAGACCTGTGCAATCTAGACTAATATACCTGATCTCTTTGGATTCTGGTTGTATTATATAGTGAATAGAGATAGTTGCTGCTGTTGGGAGTACTAAACGAGATGAACCCTCTGAAGCACCTGAGACACTGCCTTGCATGTAGTAAAGCCCAATAAATACTATAAATATATATATACATATATATATACATATATAATAGTGTGATAGTACAAGGATTTGTAAAGCAAACTCAATGATTTAATTAGGTTATTAAAATACAGGAAAAAAACAGACATATGATTTACAGTCCTCTTCACTAATAAGCCATAGCTACCTGGAAGTTCTCTGAGATTCACTATTTTATCCCCTTTATTTATCCTAGCACTTTAAAATGCTTTATGTGTAATAAATAAAATACAAAGTTCATCCTTAGTTGCTGTAGACAACATCCTTACCATCTGCATTTAAGAAATAGTAAGCACAACAAAATAAATCTGAAATGAATAACCTTTAAATCAAGCTTGAGACCCTGACATTCACAAGCAATAAAGCTCATGGTCAAATTCTGGATGACCTGGAATCATAGAAAAAAGCCTTCTTGGATACTCCTCTTTACCCATGTTTAATAGAAAAGGGAAAAGGCTACCATGATCAAAGAAATTACTTATTGCTCTCATTCAGGTAATCACGGTAGTCTGATCTCTCTGCTGTGGAGTTAAAACACATCTCAGGAAACCATAAGAGCTGGTCTGTACTCAAAGTTCAATATCTTGAGGTCCCTTACTCCTTTTGGCACAAGATCTAATATTAAGACAAAGACATCTTTCTGTTGACCAAAATTCTGTAGAACAGCGATGAAGACTAAGTTTTCAAAGTTCACTCCAGGTAGAAAATGCTTCAAATAACTAAGGGGCTTCCTGATTGTCCCAACTCACAAGCACATTAGGAAACCACTTAATGTTGAGGAAGCTGTTAGAATGCCCATAAAACATATTCATATGTAAATAATACCAATGATGTTCTTTTAATAATACTCAAATATTGAATTGAACTTGAGTTAGAACCGCATAGTTTCTCTGATTTAGTCTTAAGCAGGCGGCTCCCAATAAATGTTTTCCATTCTCTAAGATTTTCAGTGCAGCTTTGCAAGGACTACATAAAAATGTCCATCTAAATGTACGGAAATAATACAAGGGCTTTTATTAGGCAGAACAGAAGTATCTAAGACACTTTTTTCGGAACTGTTAATATTGACAGGTAGCACGTTCCTTAGGTCTTTATAGGTTCTAAGGAGTCTGTGAAGAACCAGCCTTTCTCTACAGAGAGCATCTTTCCCATGCCCTCTGTACACATGGGTTATTCTTTAACTTTACTGAATGCTCATTATGCACAAAGGTTGATTAAGCCCTCTGTGGGAACCAGAATTGTATTAGAACCAAATTCAATTGCCCTAATTAGAGTTATTTAGGGCTTCCTAGTTAAGAGAATTTATACTCATTTTTTTTCTGGATGCTATGCTTACAAGATTCATAAATTCAGTGCCTTTGAAACAAATATAGCTTTCAGCAAAGTGATTTATATTTTCTAATGATTAGTTAAAAAATATGGCATAACAGCTCTGGTCATTTTGCCAAACATTTTTGTCAGTTAGCTAATTTGTTTTAATAGTAGCTGTAGGGCTGATCCAGGACACTGAAACCAACTAAGTTTAATTCATTCCTATTTAAATTTAACTGTTGCAAGTAATAGAAATGCCTGCTGGAACAGAAATAGCTGATTAAGAATTCAAATCTGTTAATGTTAGCATTGAATCATTCGGGTCCATGCAGACTCAGAATGTGACAGAGGGTGGCTTCTTCACCTTGGCAAAGTTTATAACAACAAAATAAACAAATGATTGTATGGTACTATCTTTAGAAAATAAGTAAATGCCATTCTGTTCACTCATGCTATGACTATGTATAGATGCTGTTCACAGGCAATGGGGAATTCCATACTTGATCAATATTGCTAGGAAGATTCTTCAAGGGAGTTATCACTATGCCAGTCCTCCAAGCCCTGAACAGCACAAGTGCTGAAGACACAAGGTTGACGTGAAGCTGCACTGCAAGATACCTAAAATTCCATTTTGTTTAGCATATTAGTGCATCTGTAAAATTCAAAAATATCATACAAATGTTATCTTAAAAATCATCTTAATACTAATATATAACTTTTCGGTTTCCAAAAACCAAACTGTGACACACTTTTCCAAACTGTTAACATACATTAACTTACTTATCTTCATAACAATTCTATATTATACTTATTGTTTTCACATTTAGAGGCTGCAAAAGAAGGTAAGAAACTCACCTAATCAAAATGCATCATTTATTACAATTCCTCTGAGAGCATGGATTTTCTTTTCTGAAACAAGGTCTTGCTATATAGTGCTATGTAGCTTGAGCTGGTCTTAAGCTTACTATGTAGCTCACGCTGGCCTTGAATTATGGTGATCTTCCTGCTTCAGCCTCCCAAGGACACAGTCATCCACCATCTTCCAAAAATCAGAGCAAGTATATTCTGATTTTTGGAACAAATGCTTTGATTAGTCACTTAATATATGAACTAAGACACCTATTCTGTCCTAAATCCACAAATACATGAAAATGACCTATTTGAATAAAATAAAAAATGGTCACTAAACTTCATCTCTAGAGGACTGACCATCCTTTTGTTTTGCTGATAGAATAGGCTCATCTTGTGGCAAAGCTCAACTGATTATAGTAAAATTATGCTTCACTTCTTTCCATTTATAGCAAATTTTAGATTCTGGAAATGGAGGTCTTCCTGCTGCCTACATTTAACTACCATTCAGAAATTCATCAGGCTTTCCCACCATTCCTTAGCCTAAGAAGCTAAGTTTAGATAAGAAGGAAAAAACTGAAAACAGGGAAAGAATTTCCATTATCAAGTTTACTTTCTAAGTTTTGTAATAATGCAGATATGTCAAAAATTTGATCAATCTGAAAAATAATAGCAGAAAAACTTTGAACAGAAGCTCAGGGAACTGTAAAACTATAATACATAGATAGTGGGAATCAGAAAATAAAAGGAGAAAGATAAATAAGGAAAAATATTTAAGGAAAGAATAGTTGAAACATTCTTAGATTTGATGGGTAAAAATTCTATGTGTGCAAAATTTCTGGGAATCCCAAGAAGATAAATGCAAAGAGACACACCTAGACAATGTCTTTGCAAAATCGCTGAAGTGAAAGACAAAATCTGGACAATTGCAAGAGTTGTGACTCATGGGGCTGGTGAGATGGCTCAGTGGTCTAGAGCACCTACTTAGAACAAGCTCAACAAAGCACAGGGACCACGGTTCAATCCCCCAGCACCACATGCCAGCCAGCCCCGCCCCCTGGTGGGCTGAGCTGGCCACACACACACACACACACACACACACACACACACACACACAAATAAAGAAAGAAAGAAAGAAAAAAAAGAACATTAAAAAAAAAGAGTTGTGACTCATGACACATAAGGGAACAATAATATGATTAATTTCTGGTTCCACGTGAGGCACAAAAGGAAAGGAATGACATGTTCCAAGTGCAAGAGAAAAACCTGACAACAAAATGCAAAGATCTTTCATTAACGAAGGTAAGACAGAGACAGCTTTAGATAAATAAAAACTGAGGTAATACATTTGCAGGAGGCCTGATTTAAGAGAAGAACTACATAAGGTCAAGCTGAAAGAAAATGACACTAGACAGTAATTTCAATCTCCTGAGGGAAAAAAGAATGGAGCATTATAAATGGAAATATGTGAATAAAACTATACATATAATATATACACATTCTCATAATTCACTTAATTTTTCATGAAAAGCTAACGTTTCAGTTTCAAAAAATGAACATTTGAAAGTTCATAGCTTTTCTGCATAAATAATAAACTAGAAAAAACAAATCAGGAAATAAATTCCACTTGACATAGCTTAAAAATACTTATAATCAAACTAATCAAGACAGTGAAAGACCTCTATAATGAAAATTGTAGTCCGGGATGATGGAGTATGGCCTAGGTTAGACTGTTCCGCGGTGCTGTAACTTTCATCTTTAGGTTCCCGTTCTGCTGGCGCGGTGTCGGGTAGCGGTTTGGGGACCATTCAGCAGGGCGCCTCTGTTCTCGACCCTGGAAATGCCATGAGGTCAGTTAGCTTTGTGCAGCGCGCAGCGATGGAATTTAGTGGGAGCCTTTTTCCACACGCGATCTGCCTCGGGGACGTAGATAACGACTCGTTAAATGAACTGGTTGTGGGAGACACCAGTGGAAAGCTGTCTGTGTATAAGAATGATGACAGCCGGCCATGGCTCACCTGTACCTGCCAGGGGATGTTGACTTGTGTTGGGGTTGGAGATGTGTGTAATAAAGGAAAGAACCTGGTAGTAGCAGTGAGTGCTGAAGGCTGGTTTCATTTGTTTGACCTGACACTCGCCAAGGTGCTGGATGCCTCTGGACAACATGAGGCACTAGTGGGAGAGGAGCAGCGTCCTGTCTTCAAGCAGCACATCCCAGCCAACACCAAGGTCATGCTGATCAGCGACATTGATGGAGATGGGCGTTGTGAACTGGTGGTAGGACACACAGACCGTGTGGTGCGAGCCTTCCGCTGGGAAGAGCTGTCGGAGGGCACTGGACACCTGACAGGACAGCTGGTGTCCCTCAAGAAATGGATGCTGGAGGGCCAGGTGGACAGTCTCTCGGTGACCCCAGGGCCACTGGGTGTTCCTGAACTGATAGTATCTCAGCCAGGCTGTGCTTACACAGTTCTTCTGTGCACCTGGAACAAGGATCCTAGATCCTCTCCTGCCTCTGAGGAGGCCGTGGAGGGCAGTAGAGAGACCACAGCTGCCCAGGATGTAGTGCTGCACCAGACATCTGGCCGTATCCACAACAAGAATGTCTCTACTCACCTGATAGGCAACATCAAACAAGGCCACAGTCCGGAGAGTGGTAGCTCTGGCCTCTTCGCCCTCTGCACCCTGGATGGGACACTGAAGCTCATGGAGGAAGCAGACAAGCTGCTGTGGTCCGTGCAGGTGGATCACCAGCTCTTTGCCCTGGAGAAGTTAGATGTCACG